CTCTTTCACTAGATTTCAACAAGTCTCACCTATACAAGTATATAGGAATATTAAATAAGAATTTCCTAGTGTATATGTAAAGTAAACTCGCTAAAGTAGTGGTAAACTCTTGTGGGAGTGCAACTCTTGCTCTATTTTTTTACACAGAAGGTGAGAAACTTGTGTGAGTGAAACTTGTAAATATTTTTAATCAAACAGGCTGAATTGTAATTTCTCCTTGTTTTTCTGAAGAATGTTATTTATGGCCTCGTTTGGAAAGTTGACTATTTTAAATTTTTGTTATTTTAGTAAGCTAAAATTTTTATATTTGAAAAGATGGTTGAATTTTTTTATAATTGTATGTGATATTTGTAATAGAAAAAGAATGATTATGAATTTGATATGATATTTTGTATTATTGACTATTTGAATATATTTTGTCTTTTTGTGAATTTTAACCAAAAAAAAAAGAGTCAAAAACCCACTTGCCAAAATAGGGCCATAATAAGCATTGCTTATATGTGGTTTAGTATATTTTTACTGGGCTGTGGCTCACCCTTTATGGGAACATCATTTTCAGGTTCAGGTGATAAACTACCTCCAAGGACTTAGCTTGGGAGGGTTTGGCTTCTGGATTGGAGAAGACTACCTTTAGTTAATTGTCTTTAATTATTATTACATGTAAACATTCAAGCCTAGGGCTTTTCTTGTATTGAGTTAGAACTCATATTTTTGTATCCAAGTGTTGGCTTGGAAAGATGTAAGCCTGTAGGGCATTTTATTTGATGTTACATGTAATGCTTTATTTAGTAATACCCTGATGAATGAATTAATATATATTGTCTTCTTTAAATAATGCCTGTCTATGATATATATATAATGGGTTAATTTTGAGGACGTTACACATACATTGCAGTTACTATCACCAGCAGCAGCAGGATTTGGAGAAGCAGAAGCTGCATTTATGAAAAGAATTCATCGGAGCTTCTAAATACACTCGCTTATTTTCTCTCTACACTCACTATATGCATTGTACATCTTGTATGTTACGAAGAAAAATTTGTGGATATAGGTATAGAGATGAACATGACGGGTGTGTGGTGGGTTTAGAAACTCCCAATTGCATCATTTAAAACGAGGATTATGTGTATATATATATGTTGTTTTATAGCATTATCCAAATGAAATTGTTTCTTTTGAAGTTGCAACATTTTTTCCATTTTGTTTTCCATAGCATTTAAAACAAGTACTCTGTTTTATGTAAAAAATCATTACAGCATTGTATGAGAATATCACCAATTATATTTATTTTCGAAAATGGATCCATTCTGTTTTGCAATCATCCAAGTCTGATTGGAGCTTTCTTTGCAATGACACTATACTAATGATGCATTTGGTTCTCTAGATGCCATGGAAATAGAAAAATCCATGGTATTTAATAATGCAATAAGAAGCTAAAATATAAAGCTGACCTGTGTGACCCACTGTTCTCTCTGAGTCATATATCTCAAAGTCATTTCCTCCTTGCTCAAACAAACACCCAAGCCCTTCATTTAGTCCTAAAAGAGTACTAAAAACAGTTAATGAAAAAAGGGCAAAATTTACTTTACCCCATATGGTTTACTCCATCTGTTGTCTACGCTCAGATGTTTAAAATAAGCATATAACCCTCTATGGTTCGAAGATTAAAGTGCACCGTCTATACACTTCAGTGAAAGGATCAAAATACCTCTGAAGTAGCCTTAACATTGAGCAAACTAAGGGCATTTTTGCCATCTTTTTGGGCATGAAATGTGTTTTAACAGAACCATTCGCATTCCAAGCACATGTTTTCACATAAGCTATTAATTTTGATGGTGCACCAAATCATAGGAAGGTTATATGGTTTTTTCTAAATATCAAGAGGGGTAAACAACAAGTAGAATTAACCAGGGCGTGTTGAAGTGAAGTTTGCCCCTCCAAAAATAAATGATCTAATACAACACATCACCACAGGGAATCAAAGCTTCTGAACAAGCTCATGGCACATGGAAAATAAGTGCAAACACTAACAGCTGGCACAAGCGTATGAAAAATCACAAAGAAAATACATTATTATCTCAAAATACCTGGCCAAGCATTGTAGCCTCAGATTCAATTCCTCCAACTCCCCAGCCAGCAACTCCTAAGCCAGCAATCATAGTTGTATAGGAATCAGTTCCAACCACGCTATCAGGGTATAGAATGCCATTTGTGTAGAAAACAGCCCGTCCAAGGTATTTAAGATTAACTTGAAAATTACCAGAGTCACTTGCTAAATGCCAAGCCTACCAAATAGTATTATAGTGCTAAAAAAATGAGAAAATTTGGACTATGATTTACAAGAGGCTAGAGGTAAATGTGGCTTTACTCCAGAAGCCCCACAAATAGTTAACAACAGATGCCTTTGCATGGACTATTGAATTCAACTAAAGCACCATGAAGGCATGAACGTTAGATTATATCTATGACAAACTATTATTGCATATTCAGAAAAATCAAATATTTTAATGCCACATTTACTTTAAAAGTATATTTAAGAGTTGGCTGACAAGTCAAGTTAAAAATTAAAGAGATACCTATAGATATTTATGAAAATATAATTGAATGTATATAATTAAAAAAAAAAGAAAAAGGAAAAAACATCAGCATATGGAAATTTCTAAATGTAAGAATCAGCTTTATACAAATCTTCTTGTTCAAATAGATCACAATGACATACAATACAACTTAGTTCATCTGGACAAAGCAATAAATGCCAACAAGCTTGAGGTCAGGTGAACATATCTTTTCCGCCATTCAGCTATATTTAAAGCTAGATGCTCTAGGGAAAAATTAAGTTTGCATGGAACAAGTTCCCCCACCTCTTTCTGTAAATTAAAAGAACAAAAATAAAAGAATATTAACCCTTTAGAGAAACAGTTCTCATTCTTCTATACCATTATGAGCCATCATTTTCTCACTACCATGCCACTGTTATAGTCTTTTTCTCTTTATTTGACAAGGATATATTAAATTAAAAAGGCACCAAAGGTGCAGTGCCACCAATGTATCAAGAAATACAAACATGAGGAAAACATCTACTTATCAAAAGCATTCAAAATTCGGTACAAACTCCAAAAATTAGTTCAAAGATGGCTCACTACCACCTGAAAACCAACTATACAATATGCTTGTAAAAAATAAACACTTACTTCCCCAAGAGTCTCCCTTGAAAGATTACCAAAGCACCAGGTATCACGCCTCTTCCCCTACAGGAAGGGAGAAAAATTCAATTTAAACACAATAGATATATAAATATAATAAATATATATATATATATATATGTGTATATATATATATAGAGAGAGAGAGAGAGATGTTTGTTTAAAAGTTGTGAACTTTGTATTAAATTGTCTACAAAAACGGTTGCTCCATGTTTAAAAAAAAATAATAAACAAAAGGAAAAGAAAAAATTAGTCTTACTTTTATCTTTTTAATTATTAACATTTGCTGACTTTTTAAAATGAAGGAATGTGCTTATGTAAGCCATGACATCAAGAGCGTGCTTATGTAAGCCATGACGTCAGGAGCGTGCTTATGTAAGCCATGACGTCAACAAGGAGCGTCCAACGGGTATATTTTTGTGTATAAATAGAAATGTTGTGTGTGGAAAAAAAATCAAGAACTTGAAGAGAAAATTTTGTAACAAAATTAATAAAGAAGACTCATTAGGCGAACCACTGTTTTGGTTTCATAATTTGATCTAATCATGTTGGATTTAGGTAACCTTTGACGTGTTTACGACCATAATAAATCTAAGAAAAAGCGTAATCAAAAAGTAATTTAGACAACTGACATGAATAGTTATTTACCTGGAAGCGAGAGAGAGAGTCATTGTCATAGTACCTTCTTGGGCTGATCACGATTCTCATCCCTATTTGAGTACAACACCATTGAACTCAAGTTTTCAATCTTCTTAGCTTGCTCTTGCAACCTCTTTTCGCGTTCAGCTTGGGCTTTCTTTTCCTCCTCCAGCGCCATAGCTATCCGATCCCTCTCCAATTCAGTCTATAGAAAATAAATCATAACCTTGAGGATACACAAATCATTATTTACAAGACAATCCACAAACTTAACGATATAAACCTGTAATAAAGTATTCCGCAGATTGAGAATCTCCTCTTCGGAATGTTCTGAATGGGAGCCCTTAATCACAAGAGACAAATTAACAGTTGATACTTTAAAAAGCAATTTGTATTTTAATCAAATCTCAATGGGTGTATTTGTAATTTACCCAAAATAGAATAAAACTTCAAGAAACCCAACAAGACTGCCCCTGAGTTTCAAGCTTTAATTGAGATTAAATGGAGCCTTGGAATCAAGTTTTGTTAGAATATTTTCCCTAAAATTGTTTTTCATCGGAACACATCAAACCTTAGGAAGAAGTTGAAAATAGAAGGGAACTTGAAAATGATGAACTCAAAATTAGCAGTTGACAAAATCATGCAAACACTATCAACTTAAGGTATTTTGAACAATGTTCACTTTTTCAGGTAACTTCGACAAATATTTTCATGTAAGCATCGGTACACTGAATTTACTAAGTGTTACCTGAGCAAGCATGATATTGCATATGGTACACTGAATGTGTTACCTGAGCAAGTGTAATATTGCATATGATGGCAGTATTTGCATTTCCCCCTAGTGCAGGTTGCAAAATACGTGTGAGTTTGCTATCTCGATAAGGAACATGACCCCTGCAACAGATATTGATTGATGTACATCAACTATAAAATGAAAAAATACATTACATAGCTTTCCAAAACAATTGTAATACAATAAAAAAATTCAAAAATTAGTCTTTAACTTTGTAATCTCCGCCTGAGTTTGTTCATCTACCCAACAAGAAGTTCGAAGAAACATACAAAGCAAATTCAAAGTACCAACCTTTATTTGTCAAGTTCGTATGAGACAAAACTCAATAAAACCCACTAAATATGTTGATTTTTAGAGCCGGCATTGATGGTTGGAAAGTATCATATGAAAGCTAGTGAGAGAGAATAATGAGAAATGCATGCGGGTAAGAAAGAGAGCCAAACGAAAATCTGGTGAACATAAATCATAGAAAGAGTTCACATATGAAATTGATGAGTGTTTGTTAGTGTTAAATTGGGAATTCTAGAAAAACAGAGAGATTGATGGATAATGGATTACAGATGAAATTGAGTTGGGCACTAAAGCATTTAACTCAAATTCCAATGCTAATACCTATATCTACATTCGTATATACAAAAAATGAGTACTGTGAGAATTGATTGAATTACCCGTAGCTCTGTAGGGTTTGGTTGTCCTTCAAGATCTGCCATCGTCGGCACTAAGGTGGTGGTTCTGCGACAGAAGGAGGTGCTGCGCGACGGGCAACGGCGAATCGGTGATGGCAAATCCAACACTGATGGTGATTGTTGTTGTTGGGGATGGCAGTTTCAAAGCTAGGGTTTCTAATACAGGGGAGAGAAAGATAATCAAACCCTAGCTATTGCTAAGTGAGTGGTGAGAGGGTGAGAGGAGAAGACGGAGGGAGAGAGTGTTTGATTTGCTTGTGTTTCAACTGTGATATTACATACATATAAATAAATATAATCACATTTAATTAAAAAAATAAGGGTAAATTACACTGACTCCCTTAATGTTTATGTTTATTACAGTTCTCCTAACTTTTTGGAAATAACATCTCCCTCTTGAGATTTAAAGTTTCGTTACAGATTTCTCCCTCAGCCCTTTTAATTTTTTTAAATACCAATTTTACCTTCATTGGGTAAATTACATCGGCACCCCTCACACTTTAGAAATTACAATCCTTTCGCTAAGGTTTAATGTAACGCCCTCAAAATAACAACATTAAACCCATCAGATAAGACATGCATTTACATATAAACTAACCACATTCCTTTATTCATTAGAGTTCCATTACATAACTATTACATGTTAACATCATAACAAAATGCCCTACGGGCTTACAGCTTTCCAAGTTAACACTTGGTTACAACAAAAGAGTACTAACTCGTTTACACATAAAGCCCTTGGCTTGAAGTTACATGTAATACAATACCTTAACGATATATTTGAAAATTGAATAAAAAAGGAAGTTGAATAAAAATAAAAATGAAAGTTGCCTAAAAATAAAAATGGAACTTTATTCAAGAAACCACTATACCTTAACGATCTATGTGGAAATTAAATAAAAAAAGAAGTTGAATAGAAAAGGAAATTCAATAGAAATTGAAGTTTATTAAAAATTAAAATGGAAGTTGCATCAAATTAAAATTGTAACTTCATTCAAGAAACCAGTATACCTTTACGATCTATTTGGAAATTAAATAAAAAAGGAAGTTGAATAGAAAAGGAAATTGAATAAAAATGGAAGTTGAATAAAAATAAAAATGGAAGTAGAATAAAATTTATAGCGATCCCGGGTTTACCCTTGTTGTACAGTGATCCGGACATGTGTCCGTGGATGTTGGTAGTGGTTTATTATCTTGTTTGCATCCTCTTTATTGGTATATTGAGTTATAAGATGTGTTGGGCAGGTTTGTTACAGGTTGGTTGTTGCATGTCTTATTTGTCGGGTTTAATGTTGTTATTTTGAGGGCGTTACAAAATTAAAAATGAAAGTTCATTCAAGAAACCACTATACCTTAACGATTTATTTGGAAATTAAACAAAAAAGGAAGTTACATAGAAAAGAAATTGAATAACAAAGGAAGTTGAATAAAAATATAAATGAAAGTTGCATAAAATTAAAAATGGAAATTCATTTAACAAACCACAATACCTTAACGATCTATTTGGAAATTAAATAAAAAAAAGGAAGTTAAATAGAAAAGGAAATTGAATAAAAATGGAAGTTGATTCAATGAACCACTATACCTTAACGATCTATTTTGAAATTAAATAAAAAAAGAAGTTCAATAGAAAAGGAAATCGAATAAAAATAAAAATGGAAGTTGCATAAAATTAACAATGTAAGTTCATTCAAGAAACCACAATTCGTTAACGATCTATTTCGAAATTAAATAAAGAAGGACGTTGAATTGAAAAAGAAATTGAATGAAAATGGAAGTTGAACAAAAATAAAAATGGAAGTTTATTCAAGAAACCACTATACACTAACGATCTATTTGGAAAATAAATAAAAGAGGAACTTGAATAGAAAAAGAAATTGAATAAAAATGGAAGTTGAATAAAAATAAAAATGGAAATTGCGTAAAATTGATAATGGAAGTTCATTCAAGAAACCACAATACCATAACGATCTATTTGGAAATTAAATAAAAAAGGAAGTTGAATAGAAGAGGAAATTGAATAACAATAGAAGTTGAATAAAAATAAAAGTGGAAGTTGCATAAAATTAAAAGTGGAACTTCATTCAAAAAACCTCTGCACCTTAACGATTTATTTGGAAATTAAATAAAAAAGGAAGTTAAATAGAAAAAGAAATTGAATAAAAATGGAAGTTGAATAAAAATAAAAATAAAAGTTGCATAAAATTAAAAATGGAAGTTCAATCAAGAAACCACTATACCCTAACGATCTATTTGAAAATTGAATAAAAAAAGAAGTTGAATAGAAAAGTAAATTGAATAAAAATGGAAGGTGAATAAAAATAAAAATAGAAGTTGCCTAAAAATAAAAATGGAAGTTCATTCAAGAAACCACTATACCTCAATGATCTATTTGGAAATTAAATAGAAAAAGAAAGTTAAATACTAAAAAGGGAATTGAATAAAAATGAAAGTTGAATAAAAATAAAAATGGAAGTTCAATCAAGAAACCACTATACCTTAACGATCTATTTTGAAATTAAATAAAAAAAAGAAGTACAATAGAAAAGAAAATTGAATAAAAATAAAAATGAAAGTAGCAAAAAATTAACAACGGAAGTTCATTCAAGAAAACACTATACCTTAACGAGTTATTTGGAATTTAAAAAAAAATGGAAGTGGAATAGAAAAGGAAATGGAATAACATGGAAGTTGAATAAAATTAAAAATGGAAGTTGCATAACATTAAAAATGGAAGTTTATTCTAGAAACCACTATACGTTAACGATCTATTTGGAAATTAAATAAAAAATGAAGTTGAATAGAAAAGGAAATTGGATAAAAGTGGAAGATGAATAAAAATAAAAATGGAAGTTGCATAAAATTAACAATGGAAGTTCATTCAAGAAATCAATATACCTTAACGATCTATTTGGAAATTAAATAAAAAAAAAAAAAGTGGTATAGAAGAGGTAATTCAATAAAAATGGAAGTTGAATAAAAATAAAAATAGAAGTTCATTTAAGAAACTACTATATCTTAACTATCTATTTGGAAATTAAATAAAAAGGGAACTCGAATAGAGAAAGAAATTGAATAAAAATGAAGTTGAATAAAATAAAAAATGGAAGTTGCATAAAATTAACAATGTAAGTTCATTCAACAAACCACTATACGTTAACGATCTATTTGGAAATTAAATAAAAAAGGACGTTGAATCGAAAAGGAAATTAAATGAAAATGGAAGTTGAATAAAAATAAAAATGAAAGTTGCATAAAATTAACAATGGAAGTTATTCAAGAAACCTGTAGGAACCCGCATTTTATGTCTTCGTCATGTTCATGAGCATCTGTATGATTATGGCTTGTTAAGCTTGCATGTGTATGATTGTGACTTGTTTCGCTTAAGCGAGTGAGATCCATGCCTTGTTTTGAAGCCTTGTGATTTGTCTAAGTGTTGTGTGCTTGTCTTGTTCCTTCCTTGATGTGAAACTTAGGTCACGCTTTGCCTGAGTTATGTTAGCCGATGTTATTCCAAGCCTAGGTTACGTTATGCCTAGATCATTCTAAACCGAGGTCATCCTCAGTCTAGAAGTATCTTGGAACCCCTTGTCGACCTCCGTCCTTGCCTTGACACATTAGCCGAGATGTTACCTTGCACCCAAGTGATCTCGTCCTGGAGTGGTATGACCTAGACCGAGGTGTGGCCGCATCTAGGCCAAAATGTGGCACAGCTTAGTCAAGTGTTGTCCTACCTAGCCGAGGTTCATTGTCACCTTAGTTGCAAGTTCTTTGTTAGGCGATGTCACCCCTTGCCGGAGTGCCATTCCGTGTAGCTTGTTGAGCACGCCTGTTTATTAGCGATGTCATTGCCGCCGTCAGAGAGCCCATCACGCTTTACTTTGTTGAACACCCTTTCCACCATGCTTTGTCTGGTCTGTCAGCCACCTTTTTCAGGGGAAACCAACCAGTCGCCGCCACGTGTCTCAGCAGAGGGTTAACCCCAGAACCGGGTAAAGAAAACTATCATTTTGGTATCATATACCTTGCCTTGAAGAGAGAAGAGAAACTCTAGGAGGAAAGAAGGAGTTTGGAAA